ACAAGCTAAATGGTTCATCGAAATTTTTATGTTTTGCTCTTCCTTAGAAAGAATTCATTTGGCTTCAAAAAGATATTTGGAAAATGGCTTTGAAATGATGACTGACATCATCCTCACAATCTTAGAAGGAAATTGATTTTTATGATTGATTTAAATGCGGGGAAAGCTGAATATTCAGGAAGACTATTTTAACTGTGTTCCTGCTTAGAAAACATTAATTTCACCAAGAATAATAGAATGGGAAACGGATTTAAAACAATTTGTGAAGGACTAACATCGTCTTTGAAAACTTTGAAGCAAATTTCTTATCATACTTGTGGTCTAGAAGCTGAAAAAGCCGAATGTTTAGGAGAACTATCTCAAGCTTACCCTTCTCTAGATAATATTGATTCATCTTCAAATAGATATATGGAAGAAGGATTCAAAAGAATTTCTGAAAGGCTGAAATTCTCTTCAAAAACTTTAAAACAAATTGATGTTCATTCCTGTAATTTAAATACTGAGCAAGCTCAATGGTTAGAAGATGTTGCTTTCAAAAATCTCACTTGGGGACGTTTTCTGTCGGCCCCGAGGTTCTTTCTGATGGTTGCTACATAACCATAAGATTTTTCTATTGTTTATTTATGATCAATTATTTTAGCAATTGTTTCCAATAAAGAGAGATAACTATCTCAGGGCTATTCATTTTTCTTCCATGTTTTTAGCTGTAATTGCTCAATGGAATCTTGTCCTTTCTTACTTTTAAAGATAATCAATGGAATTGACGTATAAAAGAGAATAGCATACATTATAGCCAAATAGGCTGAACATTCTGTAATAAATTTTTTTCCTTCTTCACTTTCAATTGGAACCTTCCAGTTAATACTTTAATGATTTTCAGGTAGATGCCACCCCGACACGACAAAAAAATATATATTTTTATTTAACAATTTGTTATAAAAAGCTTTAAACCGACCTGATCGTTCTCAACGTTTAAAGACTCTATAACATATCTTCAAAAACTAGCAATTTACATCTTTAAATCATATTAGGCTTCAACTGGTATACTGTGAAATACTATCCAATAATAATACATGTTACTAATACTTGTGGTCAGGCTATCTTAACTATAATAAAGAGAGAAAAGATTGTTTTAAAAGCATTTCAGAAGGTTTCTATTTTGACAAATCAACTTAGTTATATCTGTGATTTTATCATCTCCTTCTAATTTCATTGTAGGAATTGGATTTAAGTGAGGATTAAGTGTTCTTAAATTCCGTTTAGCAGCTTGTAATGGATGCGACAGAAAACGTTCACAAATGCATGGTTTTACCCTAATCCTAACCTAACCCTTGTCTTTTCCTAACATCTTTAGTTACCCCTAACCCTTTGATGAAACCCCCCTGACTACAAATGAATAGCTACTTCAGTCCTCCTAGCCATTTTTCAATCCGAAATATTGCTTTTAAATATCTGACTTGGGACGTTTTCTGTCGACCCCACGTGTAATAAGTCATTTATATTTAACGTTATACATTTGCCAGGATGTGCTTCTTTAAATTTCAATATTTTAATGATCTTTTTGAAAAATTAATTTTACGCGTTTGTAAATGGGATAAAATATATAAAAATGACTGGGAGAAAGCTCTTAGTCCTAGCAGAACTATAAACCTATGCATTGAACTATTTAAGGTAGAAGGTAGCAAGTAAAAACTAAATCAGAAAGCAAAACGAGAGAATCTTTTTATTTTTTAATCAAAAATTCTAAAAAAGACTTTGCTAAATTCACAGCTTGAATAAATATTTTAGCTAACAATGAAACCTTGTTTTAGTGAATCCCGCTTAAATATCGTAAAATGCTTGATTTGTTGTGTCTATAACACTGTAAACTAGAAATAATAGAAGAGAATTTGTTAAAGAAAAATTGTTTTACTATATTTATTGATAAAAAGAAGGTAGAATAATATTTCCCCTTGAATTCATATCAAATATTTCTCCTTCAAAATGTTCACCATTGGAATAATTTATTTTTTTATCAATCTTTGTTTGCTTAAGCCTTTTCATTCAGGTAAACGTTTACAGTTTTAACACTTGTAAAAATGTACTTGCTTTAATGAAGAGTTAGGGTTTTTTATGAATATTTTTGAAATCAGTTCAAATTCTCCTAGAATGATTCAAACTTTAAATGAAACATTGGTATTTTTATATTAAAATAATAGCATTATCAGAAGAGAGCCAAAATGCTCTTTTATCTATATGAAAACAAAACACTGCTTCCCAAGTTCATTAAATTACGCCAAAATAGTAGAGATTCCTTTTATCATTAATATTGCTTAATTAGATTGTCCATTTTTAACATATTCAAATTTCCCAACATAATATATTTGCTCTTTTCAACATTTTATAAAAAATAATAAAAATAACGGATACGACAGAAAACGTCCCCAAATTCATGGTTTAACCCTAACCCTAACCTAGCCCTTGTCTCTCTCTAACCTTTTTGATTACCCCTAACCCTTAGATGGAACACCCCTAACTACAAATCAAAAGGTACTTTACCCCTGCTAACCATTATTCAATCCGAAATGTTGCTTTCAAAAATCTCACTTGGGGACGTTTTCTGTCGGCCCCAAAAATAACAAATTCCATGCTTTTAAACGTAAAAGAAATATGGCAATTGATTGGAAATAGTCAAAATATAGAAACTGTCTATTTTTAGAATCAAATTTTCAGCTGTGGAACAAAGTTCATGTGAATAATGATTCAGAGTTAAAAAAGTAAAATTCTATTGCAGTTAATTAAATTATTCATAAGATATTGTTTACATACCACTACAATGTCACCTTGTTGAAGTTACATTTTGAAAGAATGGACATTCTCCAAGATTTTCTTTGTTCTCAGCAATTAGCTAACTTTGTCTTAGAATGTATAAGTAATCTTATAAAGAGATCAATAAATGTTGATCAATAACTACATTATTTGTCTGGAATTAAATATACAGTAATGCTATATTGCCTAAAATGATCTGAAATATAATTTTGTAAGTACTCTGAAAATATGGTAGGCCTAAAATTTATTTATTATAGTAGTTTCTTGTTTTTAATGATGTTATTTTTGATGAAATGAGATGCAACAGAAAGTATGCACAAATGTGTTTCTTTTTTATCATAATCTAGCATTTTTCTCTGCCTTTCTCATACTTACATTTGTTACAGTTATTTTCTTTATCATAATAATCATATGTAGAATTAATCAAAGCTTCATCTTTTCGTGACATATAATTAGTACGACAACTTTTAGATTTAGAATTATAGTTCACTGATCTGTGTTTGTTTAGTGGAATGTTATTTTTCTAATTAAGTATTAAGTATGTTTTAAGTTTTTAAATACCTGCAAAGTTCGCTATTGTCACATAATTTGAGACAATCTTGCAATGTCTTATCATTAAAATCACCTAATTGCTGATCATATATTTCCTTATGTTGTATTTTTTCATAGAAGCAATCTAATATTTTTAATATATATTATAGGATATTCAAATTAAACAATGTTCCGAACTTGCCACAATTTTCCTCTTTTCTGTGAATGTAATATGAAGAAGCAAAGATTAATGAACTATTTCCACTAGCAACATTTAGAAAAATGCACTTAGTATGAAGTTTGTTTTGAAGAAATGATCTTTGAAGAGAAAAAATTAGAAATTAAAATGAATAAATCAATTGAAAGTAGAACTTGACAAATACTTGCAATTTCTCAAATGATTACAAATTCTAACACATACCTCCACATTTATATTAACCTGTGAAATTGTATACTTTACTAAATCTGATGCTTCCAATGATCTATCAGAAATAACTTGATATGAGCAGCCTATTTTAGGAGGAAAATTGTTGTAAATATTTGCATATTTAACATTTGATCACTACAAACCTTTACTTTTCAAATAGTATATTTTAATCAAGAGAAATAATAAAAATAAAAAATTCATTCTTTTCCCAATTCGGCAGATTTTTCGACAAAATGTGTACTGCTAAAACTGAGTTGAATATAACATTTAAATACTTTTTTGGTTTCAAAGACATGCATTTTTAATTATCATTTTAAATGCCACTTACTTTTTTATTGTTAAAAAAATAAAGAATAATGAAAGAATTCCTTTAAAACAAAATTACTGTTAGTTGAGTAAAATTTACTGAATTATTAATTGATGGATTTTCCCAAGAATTGCAAAATTGCAGATTAGAAAACAATAGAAGATATAGTAGAGCGAAAATTTTTTACAGCAGCCATATTTAATTTAAATAATAAACATCAAGAATATTGTTCCGCTAAGTAGAGGTTATCAATATGAAATCAATAGAACATGCGATGATGATTATGGAAATTTCGTTGCTCCTTTTTGCATTGTTCATGAAATTGGACTAACACTCAATAAAAAACTATGAGCATATGTAAACATTATTCATTCTCAACTGGTGAAATTAATAACAAAGCTCTCCCATCTAAATGACAATAGCCCTAGATATTGATCTATAAGTGTTCACAATTTTATAATTAAAACAGTGTCTTAATTTTCTATATTATCGATATTATTATCGAGATATTGATTAAGAATAATAATTGACAATCAAATATTTATTAAATATCATCATAGAAGTCAATCATTATTTAATACAGTCAGAATAACACTTCCTAGACATTTTCTGTAGATTCAATTATAAGATAATTTGGCTTTTGCTATCAAATGAGTATGTCAGTCGAAAAACTTGTTGTTGGACATTAATCTTAAGCCTATACACTGTGACAAGCTTATTAGAACTGAGTTTAAAAATAAATTTAACTTATTCAATACAGATCTTTATATGGAGAAGGGTACAATATTTTTTGGATTCTCACAGACAAAAAAAACATTAAAGTGGATTGAATTATTAAGTGACAATGCAACAGCTTCCTTGGATGGCTAGTGCCCTATTATAATACTGTATATCTGCCTTATAAAACTACACATACATTTGCTATTTCTAGTCTACATTGCATTCACCAAGCGGAGCAAAAAAAGGTGACTGCATTACAGCCAAATATATAGCATAATCCAAACCTCTGGCATCGGTGGTTGGCAAACTCAAACGCAAACTATCTGAACCAATCTCTAATATGATGAAACACACTAAAAATAATCCAGTATATAATTATCTATCAAAAGTTGCCCCTAAGGAACTAACACAGCAGCAAATAAACATCTGATTAATAAGAATGAAAACAATTGTCATCATCTAGACACTCTTGTATCATATCGTCTGAATATTGTAACATTTCATGGTTAGAGAGGTGGCTCCATATAACACAACAACACATTGAAGCACAAAAAATAGACTCGTAAAGTGAGAAACATCACACATCAACCCTGCTCCAAAAAAAAGAACATTCTGGAATTTTACCCTGTGCTATGAGGAAATTTGAAAAGATGTCCCTGTAGATGAAGGCATGAGAACAGAAAACGTCTCCAAATTCCTGCTTTTACCCTAACCCAACCCAGCCATTGGCTGTACGTAACCTTTTCCATTACCTCTAACTCTTGGAGGAAACCATTCTAAGTACAAATCAATTGCTATCTTCTTCTTCCTAACCATTTTTCATTCCACAATCTAGCCTAGAAATTTCTCATTTGTGGACATTTTCTGTCGAGAGCCTCATCTCCATTGCCCAGCCAAGATGACTTATTATATTAGCCTCATTATGTATTATATTCTTTTTTCTGACAGATGTATGGTTTTACTCTAACTTTCAAGTGGTGTATTAGGCTTCAAGTACAAATTAATTGAACCTTTTTGTCTCCTATACATTTTTCAACACAATTTTTTCCTTGAAGGTTCCATGCTCTTCCTTAAGTTGTACTGCAATGAGCTCTTTTGATATTTCTACTTGGTTTAGACCATTGCTGAATACATTTAAGGAAGGAAAGAACTTTTAAGAAAGCTTTTTGTGCTCCTATGTATAATAATAAGCCCAGACGTTTATGAAAAGCACATTAATGTATAGTATGAAATTGAATATATAATCCGTATTGCACTTGCACGTCAAAGTTGTTTACGCAATCAGAATCATAATTTATTTAGTATTTTCCTAATAAATTTTCCAAATATCTTTGCATGAACCGTTAAAACTGTGCTTGCTTTTTTAAGCCCATTTGAATTGAGCGGACTACGTTTAATCTTTTACATATTGCAGCAGCTATTTTCAAAATGTTATAAACATTTATAATTCTCTTTTCGTCTGTCTCCAATCCTCTGCATTTCTGTATGACGTCGAATAAAATCCATTTTCTTCCATTCTAACTAGAAACATTCTTTTTACTGTTGGATTGTAAAAGTCAAATTGTTCGATGACAAAAGATTTCGTCCATACCAAGAGTGAGTTTATGTCCCATTTCTGGAGATTTCGTCCAAATTTTAAAAATTTCATAAAATATACCATTCTAACCCTATCCCTAATCCCAAGATTTTACCTAACCCTAGCCTAAACTAGCCTATCCTAACCCTAAAACTAACCAAGGCCTAAAATTGAACGAAATCTCCAGCTTTCAAAAATCAATTTTTCTGTTGTCTTATGCTAAAGGAAGACAAAAGCAAGCATTTAATATCATATTTGGGAGCTGAACAATAATTTTCCATCAAATTACATACAAAATTTCAATCAATAAGTTTAGAAATTAAGCAACAAATATTTGGGACGAAATTTCCAGACACCAGATTGTTCTACTTTCTCAGTGAAAGTTAACAATTTGATCTTCTGTTTCTTGTAAAGATATCATCATTATCATCATAATTAAAAGTAGGGTTAACCCGCTTACATTTTATCGACCTTTAACAGCCTATTTTTCATTGTATTTCTCAAGAATGTGGCTGTGCAATATAAATATTTAGTAGTGAATTTAGTAAGTGAAATAATATAATAATCCAAGGATAGTAATTCATAGGATAATAGGATAATAATGTAATTCAAATATAGAAATATGATTTCAATAAATTCTCCAATTTTCCTAATTCCCTTACAATATTAATTTATATAAATTTACAACTGGCAATCTTCAATGGTTGCAAATTGGTTAGAGATTTAAATAATTCATTGTTAATTGTCTTTAAATTCATTCTACTTAAATTCAAATTATCAATTTGAAAGAAGAGAGAAAATATATTTTTCGGCTTTGTTGCAAATGGATTGTGACTAAAATCAAAGTATTAAACCATTAAGAAGCTTCTGATAGATTGACATTAGTCAAATAAAGAACAAGGTAAAATTTGGGGGACTTTGAAAAATGAAGCTTTGTAATAATGATGTTGTAGCTGTTCTATATTTTTTAGGTTAGTCAAAGACAACTGTGCTATAAATATAAAATTTTGCATGTAACAGCATTTTTGCCAACATTTAGAGCAAATGTCCACAAATTCAGTTTTCTCTTAGTGGTAAAATAGAAAACCCCATACATGGCACAAACATTATGACCTTGTGATTTTTTTTTTACACTTTGACAGATAGACTAAATTTCTTATATAAACATTATTTAATACAGTGTTCAGAAGGGGGTTGATGGAAAACGTCCACAAACCAGATTTTTTGAGGTTAGGTTTTGGGTTAAAAAATGGTTAGGAGGAAAAAGATAGCCATTGATTTGTAGTTAGGGGCATACCATCTCAGGATTAGGGCTATTCAGAATGGTTAGGCAAACCCAATGGGTAGGCTAGGGCTAGGGTAAAAGCACAGTTTTGTGGACGTTCTCCATGACAGGCGTTCAGAATGCCATCTGTTTCATATAGTTACGAAAGGTTTTGCTGTAGTTTTAAATAATTTATGATTCAAGAAATACCATTTCAGTTGTCATTCAAAATGTAAAATTGTGATTCTCATCTCAGAGTTTACATTCACACACAGGAAAAATTAGGAGGGGAAATTGATGAAATGAAAATTGACAAACTGTCCCTTAAAGGAGACCAAACTGCCACTGAACCATTAAAAGTGATGAAAAACAATTTTCTAAAGCTTGATCAAAACAAAATACCATGCAACTCTAAAATTACGATTATAACAGTTGTTAGCTTGGTTTTCTAACGTTTTGTTTGTAAGTAATGACTCAGAAATAATCAATGCATATTCAATTGTATCAAAAGCACTGCCATTTTGCAGATAGTTTTCATATAAAACTTTGGACAAATTCATGTAAACCTCAGATTGGAGGTTCTATATGGACAAGTTCTTTAGTCAACTGATTAAATGTTTTTGGGTAATAAGGGGTGATTATTTAACAAGTTACAAACAGTTGCTGGGTTTGTAAATAATCAATCACCTGGCGAGTTCTTTAGATTTCCATATAAAACCGCATATTCTCCTTTCTTTTTTAAATTCTTATAATATCCTATTGGGATAGTTCAAAATGTTTTAGGGACATTTACAGATAATTTTTTGATGTATTTTTCATAAACTAATCTATTATTATCATTTTGAGTCTTCATATAGAAAATCTAAAATAGTTGAAATGATATGGATATATGAAAAGAATGAATTGATTTAGTGTAGTAGTAGTTCATATAAAAGAGGCCACCTTACTCCGTTTCCCTTTTAATTCACTTTTAATTGAACAGAGATATAATCTTACCAATAATATCTTGCAAGTCGCAAACAACCCTCCAACTATAATTCATAGAATTTAACATTTGAAAATTGATATTATCGCGGTTATTAATATAACTAAAATGCTTTGTCGAAACGGTAAATTGTACAATGTTAATTTTGAAAAATTGCGAGTTTTAGGAAAGTACTAAGACATATCGAATCCCTTAATTGAGTATTATACATCTGCAAAAGTCAATACTGTTACGCAAAAATTATGATTTACGATTTACCAAATAATGAATATTGCGTAATATAATACAAAATTTTCACTCAAGACAATAACTAGTTTTACAAGAGATTCCTTTACCACTGTCTCAAACTTCACCTAACCTTTTTCAATAGCCCTAAGCTTTAGATGTACAAATTATTAGGTTTCCTATTCTTCTCCGCCATTTTTCGGTTAAAACTCTAACCTTCAAATATCCTATAATCAACATCTCAAACCTCTCATAACTTAATAATTTTTTCTAGAAACTAAAGTAGGAGAGAGAAAGACAGATAGCTTAATTCAAAGATAAACTTATTAAAAAGTCATTTATAGCAACAAAGTTGCTTGTTTTCTGAATACTTTTATATTTAAAAATAATTTCAATTTAAAAGTCTTTTTTTCAAATTCAAAATACATTGAATAAATTTACCAAAAGCGTAAATATCAATAATTTCAGTTGAATCAGAAAAAATTCTAAAACTTTTCCAACAAACATAGAATTTTCTTTTATTTTCCTAACAAAAAAGTAAGTTAGATTATAATAAAATATTTAAGAGAGGAAGAGAGCTGTTATCTTATTTTACATTATAAATAATATTTTCCAAGGATAATAATCCTCTAAATGTTATGAAGTTTGAGTGTAAAAAGCAACAGGCAATCGAAACTGCTTTGATACATTGAAAGTAGTTCAGTTCTTTAAATAAATAATTTTCAACTAAAGAAGATGATGATGCTTGATAGTTTTGTAAATAGCATATATGATAATCATCATAATCATTTAAACAGGAAATAACTTGTTTAAAGATAAATAAATAGAAATTTGTACATATTTTATGTAGATATTTTATGGTCTACTTACATTTTTTTCTTGTCGAATATTCAATTTCCAGTTTATTCCTTTTCCTGTGACAAGCAGCAACTTGAACATCAAGGCGGAGAAAAAAAGAAATCTTACCCTCTCTGTAATAGCTGATTTATTTGCTTATGTAATAGCTATAGATAGAAGATAAGGTAAAGATTAATGGATTTAACACCGAATTATTTGGAATAAAAAATATAACAAGTAGAATTTTGACATTAGCTTGTACTGTAAGTTCTTTAAATGTTGAAAATATTACTGAAAACAGATGAAAAATGGTTGTGTTCAAGAATGAAATTTTAAAAACAACTCTTATTTAACCTAAAAGTGAAAGTGGAAACCAACAAATTACATTTGTAGAAATGGTTAGAAGAAATGATTTTTTAATTCTT